GTTCAAGTGAGATTTTTTGGAAAATTTTCGACTATTGCTTTGCTTTCATTGAATTCTGCCGCTTTCATTAAATTTCTTGCAGCCATTCGGAGCAAATACGCCACCCGGAAATTCTGCTGTCTCGTCCCAAGCAGCATCGAGGGTGAGTTGGCTTGAATTTTCATTGTAAAGCATATAGCCTAGAGTTCCTTGTGTCCAAAAAAAGCTGTTTATATCTGTAGTAATCGAAACGAACAGAGTCTGCCATGACTAGAAGAACTTCCTTGTTAGTTTTAATGATTCGTGCTTCAGAGAGGCCTAGGCCCTCTCGTCCTGTTGAGAGTCATTCCCCCTATGACCTGTTTTTTCCCGAGCATCTTCGCTTCAGGATCACAACCTTAGTGGCATGGGTACTGCTGGTTCCCTTGGACCAGCCTTTCTTTGCTTTTCTCCTTTTAAGCTCCACTGATCTCCCATTCTAGATCCAGTGGCACATCTACATGGATGTATAAATGTGTAGATAGATTAATAAACAAATAAACTGCCATGATCTCGGTTCTCGAGACTCTACCTACATATTGTTTTGCTGACGTAAAAGATTAAGGTCGGTCTACTGCCTGTCTTTCAATGGTACTGGAGAGTTATTAGCGACTGGATCGAACGACAAAACACTTCGACTGATGGCTTTCAACTCTGACGCTTGCAAGATTGGTGAGGTTTCTACAGCTCCCACATAGCCTAAATAGACTGCCACATGATACCAACAAAATCTTCAGTAGTAGTGGAATACCATGCATGAGGGAGTGGGGGGGGGGAAGGGGAGGAGAACGAACTTCCCATAATGACCTTGCAATGGCAGCTGACTTAGCGAGAACTCTGCATCCTTACTTTTACTGCTTTATGCAATACATATTTTCTCCTTGGGTCAATGGCAAATGGGTTATTTCGCGGGTGTAGGGAATCAGAGACACTAGATTTTGGATCTGCCCGATGTTGGGCGTCAGCCAGAACAGAGGAATACCTAACGGTAATGGAGTGGTCATCATCAGTTCAGAACCGTATCGCTAACTTTAGGGAAACAGGTTAAAGGACACCGTATTCCAGAGGCCGTATGGTATCCTTTTCCCAGGAGGCGCGTATCCCGCCGCCAATTCTATCCTAACCTTGGAAGACCTTGCGCCGTAGGAACCGCCACAACTCTGAGCGAAAGTGTGACGAGCTAAGCACCCTTGAGCCAGAGGTACTGTAGGTTATTTTGGAGCGTAGTAGAAATAGATAGATGTTTGGTCGCCCGCTAGAGATTTCGTCAACAGAAGGGCTCATAAAGCAGATGGCAAGGTCATAGGAGCCTAACGATAAATGTGATCGCATAGGGGAAATTAAAGTCAAAATTTATGTTGTTTTTCTCAAACTGGCCAACAACCGCAACCTCACGAACTTTTCGTAGTGTGTATTTCATTGCAGCGGCAACATCCGTATTTTATCATTAGTGTGATGTACTATAATAAATATATGCGAAAATAGCGTAACATGCACCTCATTACCTCTTGATTTTACTACTAGTTCTATCTTAATTGTTCTATTACATTCTCCGCAGTGATAGTAAGTCGCCTCTCTCTATGCCACGTGGTTCACTTATCGTCCTGTCGAATGTCCGAACCCTAATGCGGTAGCCGAATAGATCTACCCCAGAGGCTCCCCCCCCCCTCAGGGGACGCGTCCCGATAACAGCCACCAATTTATCCTGAGGTTGTGGAAGGTAGGGTTGCGTCATAGGGACCCCCCCCCATACCTCTGCGTTCTTACCTTCCAGACTGTTAAAACGGCGACACTCTTACAAAGAGAAGAGTGATCCAACAGGGTAGGGTAGCTACAACCTCAACCGTTTAATGGTGGGCAACCCGCACACAACCTTGTCTCCTTCAACCTTAGATTAGATCGGCGGCGGCGGACGCGTCTCCCTAGGGGAAGAATAGGATGAAGCTTCAGGAATCCACACAGAACATACGTTCTCAAGACTTCTCCGGCCATGCACTAGCTCTCACAAAAAACAGGCAGAGTTCCGTTCTGAGCCAGGTGCCGAAGATCTGAAGACAGCACCGCAAGTCAACCCATACATGTGAACATGTCGCTGTAGGAGCACTGTATAATGTGAATTTTTGAGCAAAAAAATGAATTGAGACACAAGTAATGTACTGTGAAAGAAGTGAAGCAGCCCGATGTAGGGAAATACTCGCCTGATTTTTCTGAGCACCCAATCTATACGAAGTTTTTCAGGTGCTGAAATGGAGTTCAGTTCTCATGATGGTACAATTAGGGATGTGATCTTCTTAGAAGATACTGTTAGCAGGTAAGGAGGAATGCCGAATGCTCAGTAGTTTGCAAAATCAGGCTCTTCATTTTTTGTCCTATGCACTGTTTCAGGACTTCGTTGTTGATCAGCGGTGGAGCAGGAAACTGTCATCTGCATGTCACCGACTGCCATTCTGGTCAAATGGTGCAATCACTGCGAGGCCATAACGGTGTGTTATGCTTTTCACAACTCGCCAGGTTTACGAGAGAAGAGGACAAATGCCATGAGTAAAATCAAAAGCGTGGAAGAATGAACCTTACAGCGCTCATTCCTTTTTGGGTGCCTCGCAATCAAATTACATTCGGAATTATGGTGAAATTTCATAGCTGTGTATTACGGATTGCCGCTCATTGTCCCAGACCGGCATACTGTAATTCTCAGGTAGGCTACTTAATACCCGAGATGAGGCGCGTTGTCACGGCGCCAGTGACAAGAAACGCATCATACTGCATCGAGCGAGTTGTCTGTACTAGGCGCGATTTAAGCGCGCACTGAGGTATAAATAGTCCCGCGTCTTCACATTGCATAGCACGCGACTCGTCCACCGCAGGGTCAACGTCCGTTCGAACTGTTCGAACGGGGGGGTCGCATTTGTGTTCTGGGAGGGGAGAGGGGGTTGCATTGCGCAGTTCTGCTGGTTACGTTTGGTCATCAGGGCGCAGGGCATAAATGCGTGCTGCGTGCAGAAAAACCAGTTGGCAAGTTGCCGTTTCAACTGTTGTATACACTTATACCCCTGGCTCCCCTCCCCCCGCTCGACGGCTATTTTTGGGGAAAAAGTGGGTGGAGTTTCGGAGTTTTAGGTAGGTTTTGGGCTGTGTCAACTGGTCTCAGAATCAAATACTATAGAAGAGGGAGAGGTCGCGGTGGGGGAAGGCTGGTTGTATTGGGGGGTCGCAACTGGACCTCCCTCGAGAGGGAGGGGGTCGCAAAAATCCCGAAAATGTTCGAACGTGACGGTTGACCCTGGTCCACACTGCCCCTCTCCTGTCCATCCTACGCGTGTGGCCTCTTGACGGTAATCTTCGGAACAGCAGTGCTTACGGGCCACTCCATGGACACCTTCACTGGTCATCGTCGCTTGCTCCAAAATAGCTGAATACAAAACAGCATTAACATTAAACAACCTTGGCGAAGTGCTTGTTCTTCGTTGGGAGCTTCTCTAGAAAAAGGATGGGAAAAAATTTCACCTCAGTAAAGTACTCTGAGCGTACCCCCCCCACTCGGTGATTACACAAGAGCGATCGCTTTGCTCATCTCAACTGAGAGCTTTTCTCATGTGGCTTTTGGGTCACTTCTCGTCTTCGCGGGTAAGCCCACGCCCACTGAGAAGTACGAAAAGGATCTGAAGATATTAATAGGGATTTCCGGGGGTACGCTTTGGCAATATTATAAAATCTTCTCATGAACAATATATTTCAGCGCCGATCCTCGGATTATTCACCTGGAACAGTGGTCCGATGTTCGTCTCGTGTTCGCAAGACAAGACAATTCGTTTCTGGGACGTACGTACATCACAAGCCGTTAATGTGATCCAGCCGACCAACAAAGCGCACAGTGAGCTATTGGACTATCAATATGCGGTGACATAACTCAATCTGGGCATTTGAATGATTTTTAAGGTGCACCGGTGACATCCGTCTGCGTTGATCCATCCGGCCAATTGCTCGTTTCCGGTCATGAGGACGCGTCTGTGGCGCTCTACGACATTACAGGAGGTCGCGTTCTACAGACTTACAGGTATTATTCTACCGCTCAGTATGCTACGTGTTTTTCATTTCAATCTAAGGATAATCGGACTTCAGCAATCTGCTAGACCACAGTTTATGAATTCTCTAATTAAGGCCTCACGGTGATGAAGTACGAACAGTGCGATTCAGCAACGCTGCCTACTATCTGCTCTCGGCCAGCTATGACAAGAGGTAACAAATTTCTTTCTTGCTCGCCTGAGGGACTGAAACTCGTACATGAGGATGAAAACAGCTATTGTTAGGTACAACGAATCTAATTCACCTTCACTTATAGCCCGGAGAACTAGGAAAATTCAGAGAGGAATGAAATTCGGTTGAGCTGAGCATATCCATCCTACCGTCACTAGGCTGAGCGGTTCTTAGTGTTAGTGGGTGGTACTTGAACAAAAGTGCTCCTGGGATAGTCCAGAAGGCTGGGTAATTCTCACGGGTAGGTAGCAACTGTAGGAGAGGTGCAGCTGGGAGGGGTACTAGTTGGCGGATCGTGGCTATGCGGAACTCTATGAGAAGGTACTTCAGTATGGGCGGCAATGTCTGCACCGACATGGGTCAAAGTGAATCACTCGTACTCCTATCTTATCTTAGGGCAGCTAAGGCGAATCGTGGTTGAAATCGATTAGAGGGTAATTTGTGTCAAAAAGTATATTTTCAGGGTTGTGATAACGGATATGCGAGGCGACCTCATGGCTCCTGCGCCATTGACGGCTCTGAGTTAATGCATTCGTTCTTCACTACCATGAATATTTCCAGTGTGGGGTGGTTTACTGGGACCATCTAAAAGGTGCATGTTGCAAGACCAGGTGCTTCCAGTCCACACTTGAAGTCTAAGAACTGATAAGGGGCGTCAAAAGTGTGGATACTACCAGTTTCGTTGCGGCTTTCGCGGTGACATTGGAACCTTGGCTGTCACATGTGGTATAGGGGATGGGACGGGAACACGGATAGTGGGTGATCAAAAGCGATAACAACCGATAACGGTTGATAAAGAAGTTAGGATTTTGAGTGCCGCTGATTTCGTTGTAGCCTTCGTGGTGACAGTAAATATTAGCTCCTACACGCTACAAGATGGGACGGAGATACGGTGAATGTGGGTGACAGAAAGGGGTATGAAAGGCAGGTGCACTAAATAAAAATAGCGACAATTGAGTGTGCACTCGGTTAAACTAAACCAGATTCCTAGCACGGGAATATGTTCCATTTCCACCCTTTCATCTAAAAAAGCAAAGGAAGTTGAGCTGCTCCACTATCTGGACTTGGACTAATAGCGAATAAAATCATATTTCCAATTTCCATCATCGATTGATGCTGATTGATTGGTTATATTCCACTTACACACCGATTCTTCAATTGTGGGAATTCTATAAACCGCTAAATCGCCCGAGCTCGATATCAATGCTAAATGTTTACGAAGTCATGATAAGTACCATTCTCATTCCGCATGCTACTGCGCGCATTACGCGACAATCTTCAGCGAAACTGGACAACATTTAAACATCATGTGAAACATGTTCCAAAACATCTTACTGTTAGTTTCTCAGTCACGTGACCTAATATTCTGCAAGTGTCCAGTTTTCACTAAAGCCCACCATTTGATGCGCGCGGTTGCTGCGGAGCTAAACTGGTAAAGGATAAAGCATTTGCCGTTGATCAATCCCTTTTTGGGATGCGGCACGCATTCTACTTCCATTTGTACATTCGTAGTGGCGTTTGAATGCGATGTGGCCTATACAATGACTTGCGGGGCCAGCCGATGTACAAGTCAGTGTTTTTTATCCTCCCAGACAAGTCTGGTACCAATTAACCGACCCCGGAGGGATGGAAGGCTTGGTTGGCCCGGGCGACTCACGACCCAGGATTTGATCCCCGGACCGCTCGCGTGGTGAGCGCGCCACTTGTCACTACAGCACCACTTCCGCCCCGACATTTTCGTATAACCATGCCACACAAATGACGTGGTCAAATATGTTTTAGGCTGACATAGGTTTTTTCAGTACACGGTGCCCTAATGAACCTAATTATCGGTTTTGTTCGTTCCCTGTTTTTTTTTTATTACCACCCACTTTTATGTTTTGTTTTCAAATGTGCTAAAAAGTCGGATTCTGGGGGAAAAGTGTAGAAGGTGATGGAAGTCTATAATGATGGCAAGATATTACATATGTTTCAATGGAACGCCCACTTCAAAAACACTAATAGTTTTGATGCATGATCTATCGAGATCTTGTTGAATTTCGAAACGAACATCAGCTTCCGGG